TTTTTTTTTTTTTTTTTTTGCTTTAGTCTCCTTATATATTTTTAAATATTTTTATAAGGTTAGTTTGGGAGAACAGTACTATCACCTATATAAGTTAACTTTGTATTAAGAGTTTATTTTTTTCCTGTTGGTTCCTTTATTCAATCCGTAGTTTTTGCAGCTAGTATGGGATGATAGAAATACATCAGAAATATGTCCTGCTCTTATGTACTTTTAATGTAGTAGGAGAGATAAGGTTTTTACATAGTGAATGAAAATAAAAGTGTAGACTATGTTACTTACTATTTTCCTGAGACCTATTGTGTTTGTTAGGGTAGCACCTTAAAATGAATGTTTTAAAGTTGTATTCTATTTAGAGCTACTTACTTGAGTTTGTGTAGACTAGAACATTTCGGGTTGATCTACGGAGTACATATTTAGTTAATTTGCAATTTTCTTTGTAGGCTTGTTTTGATCCACCTCTTGAAGTGGTTTCCACCAGGAACCCAATCACGTACAATGAAAGGACAGCTGACCCAAACCATCCTGACCTTGCTGGTTTATTGGTGAAAAACAAGGATCTTTTAGCTGAGGTATATGGATTATCTAAAAATAAAACACTATGGGGAAATATATTCTCTGTAAAAGCAGGGGAAAAAACCATTCTGATAAAGGACGCAAAGTATTATCTCAATTCAGTTTTGCTCTTTTCTCAGTATTAAATTCTCTCATCACTGAGGAGCCTTAATTTAGACATTAATTTGTCTTTTGCCAGAGAAATCCTTTTGAAGGTGGTACATAATTAAGTGCTTTCAAGTTGACTGCCAAATGCTAGGATATTAGAACATTGCTTATGAACTGCCATGCTCAAAATTTATGTAATAATATTACATATATTAAGCGTTTTTAATGGAAAGGATGAGTTCTCATTTTCAATATAGCACCAAATGGAAAATATCCACCAGTCTTACTAAATACTTGATGAAACATCTGAGTAACAGCAACAATTGAAAAAGATTCAATGACATGGAAGCATGGATCAGACTGACGAATAGCAGAGGGACAGAGGAGGGCAGGGGAGGGGAGGGGGAGAGATTAACCAAAAAATTTATACGCATATATGCACAACCCAATGGTGTGGAGAGGGACTGGAGAGGGGGGTGGGATGGGGTGGAATGGGTCATTGGGGAGAAAAAGGGACATTTGTAATAGTTTAAACAAAAATTAAAAAAAAAAAAAATTTAAAAAATTAATAAAAATAAAAGAAAACAGAAAAAAAGAAGAAAAAAAGGAAACCACATTTGAAGGAAATACCTTGACTTTCATTCCCTGTGATGAGCTAGAGAGTGCTTTTAAACCAAATTATCAAAAAAGATCGCAGGTTTTTTTGTTTTTTGTTTTAAAAATGTCTTTATTGATTTCAGAGAGAAGAAGGGAGAAGGAGAGAGAGAGAAACATCAATGATGAGAGAGTCATTGATGGGCTGCCTCCTTCAGGATCCCTGAGATTGAGCCCAGAACCTGGGCACATGCTCTGACCGGGATCGAACAACGATCTCCTGGACCATAGGTTGATGCTCAACCACTGAGCCACACTGGCTGGGCAAGATCACAGTTTTTAAACCTTGTTTAAAGAAAATATGCAAGCTTTTTTTCAGAAATTTCAAAGTACTTTTTTAAAAAGCAATTCTCTACAAGTACATAAATCATTTGGTAACTATAAATATTTTAAATCTGTTTGTCAAAGCAGATATCTAAAAGGCTCTACAAAGTTCTCATTTTGATTTGTTTTTAGATACTATATATATCAAAAAGTAATTCAAAGCTCATGTTGGCATTTTCTGGATTTAATAAATATTTAGTGACAGTTATTGCATGGTTTCCCTGTGTTAAAGTTATTTAAAAAAACAAAAAAGGACTGATGACTTCAACAGAATACCTTCAGCATGAGTCATCTTTCTCTTTTCTAATAACCTATTATTTAATCCCACAGGAACACAATTGTCTTGATAAGGCAGTTTTTCTTCTCACTGGATGCATTTAAATTTTTTTGTTATAGTTAACTTTATTTCTTTGTGGGACATACAAAAATAATTATCATATGTTCCTGCCTAATAATGGAGAAACAGGTGCAAGAGAATTATGTATAAGAAAAGCCAGCTATAGGAGAGATAAATATTAAAGTATTCAGTTGGTGGGTGTGTTGTCTAGTTTAGGCAATATGATATTGAGCTAAAAATCTTGCATAGTGCTAGATGGGCTGCTGTAATAATAAATGAGTTAAACAACTTGTAAAAAAATGTTACTGATAACATGTATAAAAAGGCCTAGTGTTGCCAGGGGAAAATGGGGAGTAATCACTAATGGGTAGAGAGTCTCTTTAGGGGATAATGGAAATGTTCTGGAATTAGGTGGTGGTGAGGGTTGCACAACCTGTGAATATACTAAAAACTACTGAGTTATATGCTTTAAAGTGTCGATTTTATGGTATGTAAATTATCTCAGTTTTTAAAAGTGAAAAATAAAACAGTTCAATATAGCTATACAACTCTATGAATATACTAAAAACCATGCAACTGTATAGTTTAAATGGGTGAATTTATGAATTATATCTCAATAAAGCTGTTGTTAAAGTGTTATATAAATAGAATCATATATGTAATCTTTTGGGATTGGCTTTTTCACTCAGCATAATTTCCTGGAGATTTATCCAAGTTGTTGGTGTATCAATAGTTTGGTCCTTCTTATTGCTGAGTCCATGGTATGTATGTACCATAGTTTGTTTAACCATTCACTTGTCAACAAATATCTGGGTTACTTCTAATTTTTTTCTATTACAGATAAAGAATCTATGGACTTTCATGTATAGGTTTTTGTGTGAACATAACTTTTAATTTCTCTGGAACAAATCCCTAAAAGTGCAATAGATGGGTCAGAAGGTAATTGCACATTTAGTTTTATAAGAAACTGCTGCAATATTTTTCTGAGTGGCTGGACCATTTTACATTCCTGCCAGATATGTATGAGTGATCCAGTTTCCCCTCATCCTTGCCAGCATTTGGTGGTGTCACTATTTTGTATTTAGATATTTCAATACATGTGTAGTGATATCTCATTGTAGCTTTAATTTGCATATACTTAATGGCTGATGATGATGTATCTATTTTTATAGGCTTATTTGCCATCCATATATCCTTTCTGATAAAGTTTCTGTAAATCTTTTGTTCATTTTCTACTTGGATTGTTTTCTGAGAGTTTAGAATTCTTTAGATACAAGTCCTTTGTTGACAATCTTTATCAAGAGGCTACATATCAATTTTGGGGAAGCATACATTTAGCTAAGTCTTAAACATATTTATGGTTCATATGTCCAAATCCAACCAAACTATTCAAAATTTGGGTTTCTTTGGCATAAAAAAATAATGCAGCAGTGTTTTTAAAATCTTAGATTTTTCAAATCACTGTCCATATGGAGGAAGTAAAAAGCAGAACTGGCAAAATGCTGTGGAAGACTAATTGACAGTTTGATCACGAGGAAAACTAAACTAGATCTAGAAATTAATATGGTGTGGGTGTGAGACTCATGCTGCCTTAGGTATTTTTCATAAAACATTGTCTTAACAATATCCTAACAACAGGATAACTAAAAATGAGACCTTAAAACATAGTTTTTATATCTTAGTACAGGGAAATGGGACCACTACATTGCACAGCTCATTATTTTTATAGTATCTTAGGTGAATAGTAACCACGACAGTACAGAGAACCCCTGACTAAACTAATTAAAATAATGAAGATAATGCTGAAGTATTTTAACGATTATTGTGATTATCAGAAGTTGGGATATATTTGATAGAATAGAGTTACAGCTCGACATCTGTTGAGATTGTCATGTAAAATGTTCTAAAAATACCTCAACTTTTTCATCAGTGAACTTTTTTCACTTATCAAATGGAAGAGCAGAGGTTTAAAAAATGCTACCCAAAGATAAAAACATCACTCACCTCACAGCAGCTATGCCCCTGCCTCTTCAATCCTTTTGATCCTTTCCTTCCAATAGCAACCTTTGGTGGCTCTCTTGTTTTTTCCCCTCACACAAACCATCACTCTTGCTTCTCTTCATAACTTTGTGAGCTCTTCTTTTCTTTATTTGCATATATATATATTACATATATATAATATATATGTAATATATATATATTATACACACACACACACACACATATATATATACTCAATTTAAGCTTTGCTCTTTCTCCTGACTTTCCTCTACCTATTTCTCTGATCGGCACAAATAAGGCCAGAAACCAAGTGATATAAACATAGGTTGCTCTTTAGAAGAGAGTTCTGTGCATACATGCTCCTTTGCAACACATCATAAAACAAAGCATCTATGGCCTAAGCATTAAGTATTTCTTTTCTGGTATGAATTCTAAAATTTGTTATTGGTATAATTTACTCTTGTAACAAGATTTAAACAACTTTAGTGTTGATGAGAATAAAATCACTTATTCTACACCATTTGTGTCAATTTGATGTAATTTTAAAAATGTATTTAACATTGGAATATACTGTTAGATTTGAAAGCTTTCATTTTATTGTATAATAATGTGTAACTTAAATACCCATAATGATTTAAAGTCATAAATTTTCTAAAACCAAAATTATAAATGATTTTAAGTAATACTTTCCCTTTCTCATTAGCTAAGAAATCTTCAAAACAAACTTTTTGTCAAAGAAACTTCATTGCAAGAGATGAAGAGTGAGCTAGAAAGTTACAAAGAAGATAACTCGAAACAGTCGTTCCAGATAATCTCCCTGAAAAATGATATCAAGGACCTAGAGGATCTTATTGCTTGTCTAACCAGAATTAAATCTTTGAAAAGCATCAATATTCAGAGCCTTGACAGAGGCAACTGGGATCTAAATGAAAGAATCATAGAACTAGAAAACCGTCTAAGGTAGGGAATTATCTTCCCCCACCCATTACTTTGTTTTTAATCATTAGCAATGTCTGTAAGTCATTTAAAACATATTTTTAAAAACATAAAATAACGTATTTTTAAAAGTGTAATAACTATAAAGTAGAGGAACTTAAGAAGGCAATGATCAAATCTGCTTCATAATACAATATTAATCTTTCCAAACAAGTTTGCTGAGAAACAGCTCCTATGTTTAATATTAAAAATAAAACAATCTTCTCATTTAGAAAAATCAAGACATCATTTGAATTAATTAATTCACTTGTAAATTCTTCCTCTAATTTTACACTGGCTTATCTTTACTTAGAAATTGTAAATTCATGAGAAAAGAACAAGTTTTATTATAGTGTAAAAATCTTAAGAACAACAAGTTACAAATATCAATTTTTTTGTTTGTTTGTTAACCCTCACCTGAGGATATTTTTTCCATTAATTTTTAGAGAGAGTGGAAGGAAGGGAGGGAGGGAGGAGCACAGCGAGAGAGAGGGAAACATACATGTGAGAGAGACACATCGATTGGTTGCTTCCCACACACTCCCTGACCATTGTGGGGATCAACCTGCAACCCAGGTACGGCAGTGCCCTTGGCTGGGAACCAAACCCATGACCCTTTGGTGCTCATGGGCCCATGCTCTAACCACGGAGCAACACCAGTCAGGGCACATATATCAATTTTGTTTTGTTTTGTTTTAAGACTTTTATAGTTTTACATCTTTTTCTTCTTCTTCTTCTTCTTCTTTTAATTATCTTTAATTTTGAAAATATTACAGATGTCCCATTTTTTCCCCATTAACCTCTCCCTCCACACCCACTCCCTACCCCAGGCTTTCACCACACTATTGTCTGTGTCCATGGGTTATGCATATATGCATATAAATTCTTTGGTTAATCTCTCCCCACCCACCTTCCTTCTGAGATTCATCTGTCTGTTCCATGCTTCTATGTCACTGAATCTATTGTCTTCATCAGTTTATAATGTTCTTTAGATTCCACATGTAAGTGAGATCATGTGATGTTTATCTTTCTGTGCCTGGCTTATTTTGCTTAGCATAATATTCTCCAGGTACTTTCATGCTGTCCAAAAGGGTACAAGATCCTTCTTCTTTACAGCTGCATAGTATACCGTGGTGTAAATGTCCCACAGCTTTTTTATCCACTCACCTACTGATGGGCACTTGGGCTGTTTCCAGATCTTAGCTATTGTAAACTGTGCTGCTATGAACACAGGGGTGCATATATTCTTTCTGATTGGTGTTTCTGGTTTCTTAGGATATATTCCTAGAAATGGGATCACTGGGTCAAAAAATTTTTAATTTTTTGAGGAACCTCCATACTGTTTTCCATAGTGGTTGCACCAGTCTGCATTCCCACCAGCAGTGCACTAGGGCTCCGCTTTCTCCACACCCTCGCCAGCAGGTCTCATTTGTTGATTTGTTGATGGAGCCATTCTGACAGGTGTGAGGTGATACCTCATTGTGGTTTTAATTTGCATCTCTCTGATGATTAGCGATGTTGGTCGTTTTCTCATGTGTCTCTTGTCCATCTCTATGTCCTCTTTGGAGAAGTGTCTATTCAGGTCCTTTGCCCATTTTTTAATTGGGTTGTTTGTCTTCCTCTTGTTGAGTTGTATGAGTTCTTTGTACACTTTGGAAATTAGCCCCTTACCAGATACATCCTTGGCGAATATGTTCTCCTGTACAATGGGGTTCTTTTGTATTTTGAGGAAGATTTCTTTGCTGTGCAGAAGCTGTTTAGTTTGATGTAGCCCCATTTGTTAATTTTTTCCTTTGTTTCTCTTGCCCTAGAGATGTATCGGTGAAAATTCCAGGCCACATATATCAGTTTTTAAATAAAAATGTTTTCCTTTCCAAAATGTAAATGTCCAGTAATTAAAACACACATAATATTCCAGGTATAGAAACAGTAATTTACTTATGGAGGAGGTGCATTTTTATATATTTGGTGGTAAGGTTTTTGTTTCTCTTAAGTATAAAGCTCTTCAAACAAACCAGGTCATTTTTATTTAAAAGTTTACTCCTTTACCCAGTTTCCTTATTTGAGTAGACAGTCTTCAGTTTCCATGGAATTTTGGATATAAGAACAGGCCACAGGAAAGGTCTGAAATATCTAAAAGTTATTTGGTTAGAGAAAAATGTTTTCTTGAAACTTGGAGGCTATCATTCCTCCTTGGTGCCTGTTGGGCGTCTCACCAAACTTCTTTGCTACAATCTTGAGAGTAAAGCACAGGATCTGGTCTCCTGGGAGCTATTGCTTCCCACTGGGCCACTGACAGCAGGGCATCCTTGCAGGATTTCTGTATGCAGTGCTGTTGATTGTCAGCACGATGGCCTCTGGCCTGAGCTGCTCCATCAGCCGCTGCAGGGTATTATGTTAGCCTCAGAAGACGGAGCATAGGTGCTGGGCTCCGAGGTCCGGGAATTTTCTAGTTTGTTTTCAAATGTTGTTTGCCATAAGCTTGCAAGTAGTATATGAAGTCCATATTCCTGATTGATCACAGACTTTATTTTTTATTTATTTATTATTTTAAATATATCTTTATTGATTTCAGAGGGAGGAAAGGAGAGGGAGGGAGGGAGGGAGAGAGAGAGAAACATCAGTGATGAGAGAGTCATTGATCGGCTGCCTCCTGCACACCCCCGACTGGGGATCGAGCCTGCAACCCAGGCATGTGCCCTCACTGGGAATCGAACCCTGATCACCTGGATCCTAGGTCGACGCTCAACTGCTGAGCCATGTCTGCCCGCGTCACAGACTTTAAATATAGAAGAATTTCACATAAAACCTGACTCAAAATTATTATATTTTTAAAAGCATTTTTACTGAGATATTCACATACCATTGAAATTCACCCTTTTCAAGTGTACATTCAGTAATTTTCAGTCTATTCACAGGTTGTGCAACCATCACCCCCAGCGTAACTGCTACACGACTTAACACTGGATTGTATTTCTCTCCATTTCTCTGCCATTTCTAGTCTCTCCTTAGAAATAGTTACATTTTTACTTGATACACATATTTAATATATTTTAAATGGGGAATATTTATTTTCACTATTTTAATTGAAGTTTGAATATTGAGTTGGTTTCATGATATTGTTACCTACAGAGTACATCTGGTTGAAAGAGAGAAGGCAGAGCAAAAAGCAGACCTTTTGGAGAAAAAGTTAGCAGGTGCTAATGGATTCACTCCTTATATGAATATGACAGGACAAGAAGACACTTTGGGTAGTTTTACGATAAAGGTGAGAATAAATTTTGATTGATTTTCGAAGAAACAGGATTTTTATTACTGTGTGTTGCTCCGGGAGAGAATGGGCAATGTCGAGTTGAATGCTTTGTTGGTCCCCTTCTCGTCGGGGATAGAAGGAAGCAGTGCAGCACGGCTGACTGCAAGCCCTTCTGAGGAAGGACAGAAAGTGCAAGGAGGATCTGAAGGTCTCGGGATTCGGGATTCGGGATTCGGAAGAAAAGGTTAGAGGGAGTAGAGCTGAGAGAGAGCTGGGAGAAAAAGTGATGGTTAGGGAGTAAAATATTGAAGTGCTAAATTTCTGGTGTGGGTTATTTCCTGCTGCTGACAAAATCTGGGTTTTTGGATCTGGGTGTAAGGGTTGAAGAGGGGTGTAGGTGAAAGTTGTTTAAACAGGGGCAAGGAATTTTAAAGCTAAGTTGGTTGGATTATCTACATTGGACATTGAAATCCGGAATTATGGCATGAGTTGGGTTTAGAAGGAAGAGATGAGCCTGGTCACTTATTAGATGACAACAGGATTAGTAAACGATGTGATAGAAGAATGTTGGAGGACAATGGGAGACAGACAATTATCAAAGAACTGGTGAAAATTTATTTTTAAATTCTTAGACCATAACAGTTTATTATATAATATGAATGTATAAAACAAGGCCCATCGGAATCCAATTAATGTGAGGGGTTCCACTGAAAAAAATTCAGAACTACTTTCAAAATATTTAAAAGTAATTTTAATTTTTAATTGCCTCTCTCAAGTAATTCACAATTACTTGAACAAAGTAACAATTTTCTTTTTTCACTTCTCTCACTAATCTGCCACATCTCTGAAAACTCTCCCAAAACAGAGTCCATGCAGCTCTGACCTTTTTTCCACTGCTTTTTAATTTTGCCTCTTTTTTCTAGGCTTTTAATGAGGAAAATCAATCATTACTTCAACAATTCTAGCTCTCCTTCTATTTCCCAGTTTCACATGACAAAAAACCCAGAAACTGAACTTGTTTACTCAGCTCCCAGAGTTGAAGGTGGCAAGAAGGCTAGAACTTATGAAGGGAGACTCCCCCTGCAGGAGGTTGGTGGGAGGCCAGGGGGAGTATGGCATTGTCTTTTCTTTTTTTCCTATTTACAGTGGAAGCAGGATGATTACAGGAGCACAGGGGAAAGACTGGGGATGTATGTGACTTCTTTCATTCATACCTTTACATGATCAAAGTTATTAAGTGATGTTCTATAACCATAATTAAGTTTTCATGAAGAATTTCATTTCCCTGCCAACTTTTCACTTGATAATTCTGGCTTGTATCAGTTATTTTATTAGGAAACTCAAAATGCTGATTTTAAAATTTCTACCTTTCCTTCTACATTTATTAGCTCAAATTCTCTGTAAAGAGTTTACCCTCATAAACTGGGGTCGCTTGGTTAGCTGCTTCTCTAAGTTCAATTTTCTATGTTCTCAAAACTTACCTTTGTTTTAATACCTCTTGATGTTCTAGTTTGCTCTTTGGAGTATGACCCTTGTCTCTCTTATGATTCTATAACTTATTTTTTTTGAGGGCCTTTCTCCTGAAGTTTCATGACTAGGTTTATATTTCAAAAGAGGGGAATTAGGTACCTCCAGATTAAAGTACAAATGGGAAGTTTAACACGTGTTGGCATGTTTAGGATGAAGGTAAAGCTCTCCTGGCCAAAAACTCTGAGAGAGAGTGTTTTTCACTCTGAAGGACCAAAACAGGGGCAGAAAATTTGGGATAAATATCAAGATTTGATCCATAAGGAAAAACAAAAATGTAAATTAGACAGACCTCCATATTCATTCGGCTGGGAAACTAAAACTGCACAATCCCACTATCAGAAACTCCTCGGTCAATTGGCTTCCCTTCTGAGCAGCAGTGTTGTCCCCATCCCAGCCCCGGAAGAAGCTGTGAAAGAGAGGATTCGGGAAATTGGTGCAAATGAGCCATCTTGGGAGTCTGTAAGTGTACTGATGGACAAGTTATTCTTTCAGAGTTGTTTCTTTTAAGATGTGGATTTTGGTATTAGCCAATTCAGTAAACTCTGTGGCTCTAAATGTTACTTTTGATTTTATTACTAGAGTAATAAGAGAGAAGAGTATGTCCATTATTACAGCAGAGGTAGTGTAGTGTGTTTGTTAAGAGCACTGAGCTCTGCCATTGCCATCATCCAGGTTTTGCCTCAGTTTCATTTCTAAAATTTGGCAGGAGTAGGGGAGTGAGGGGGATTTGGTGGTGGTGGAATAATTCCAATCTCAGGGTGGTTATAGGCTTACATGGGTTAATACGTGATAAATGCTTAGTACAATTAAGCTCAATGAATGCTAGCTTAAAAATAGTGGTATGGTGAACATAATGTTTCCATCATGAGCAAACAGGTCGGTCAGTGCAGTGTAATAAACTGTCAAATAAGTTATTTATCTGAATTCATTGGTCAAGATTGAACCAGCAGGTTTAAGTGAGATCTCCCTGTTGTGTTCAAATCACTTTAGAAACATTTCATGACTCTTTACCACTGCAATTCAAAGGCAGATGAGTATTGCTTAAATTCAATGTGTCAGTAAAATCTTCTACACAGTAGTCTGTTTATTGTAGAGTTCCAATTTTTTCACATCCTCTTCTCAAATTTATCACACAATTTATTACTCAGTACTCACTAAAATGTCTTATATTTCTATATCAAACCTTTCTATTTTTTTGAAACCAGCATCTATTTAGTAACTTAATGTTGCTACAAAATCAGTATAGTAGAACTTGCACAGTATTGAAATGAAATAGAAATCATGGACTATCAGGAAGTTATATCTATATTTTTTCTTTACAGAGAACCAAAGGCCCTCGGCAGGAAATTCAGATGCTCACTAAGCAACTGGAGCAGCTGCATCATCGCCGTGAAGAATCAGCCCAAACTGAAGAGAAGTGTAGGGATCAAAATAAACCCTTGAAACATCTGGAGGGAAAAGTGGCTGTTAATGACTTTTTTCAAGGGAGATTAGGCTTGGGCAGGAATAAAGTAAGAATTACGTGAAGTATAAGGCATTTCTTTGACAGTGAAAATGATCATATTTTGTTATGTTATCTGATGTTTAAAGCTGTCACTACTACTTACACTTTTTTAATATTGGAAAAGGGAGAAACATTTGTTACAAAGCATTCAGATTTTTCAGAAAGCCTCTCCTCACTTCGTATCTTCCGTTTCTCATTTTACACATATTTGGTGTGTATTGTGAGAGCATTTTATTAATGTGTTTCTTAATGTACTTTAAAAAGAGGGTCAGAGGATGGGGGCTCAAAGGAATGGCTCTGAAGGTGGAAGTTCCGGCACCGTGTCAGCTAGATACGGTGCGTACTGGGAGGGGCCCTTGGTGATATTCCTCAGTGATTAATGTGTAGACCATTACCTTCTGCTTCTCTAAATCTGTAAGGAAAACTCAGTCCTAAAAGTGGGATGGACATAGGCAGGGTGCAGTATAATTTATTTTCAGGAGATTTTTATTCTATTTCACTACCTCTCCATAGAATTGCTTGTCGTACTCATGCCTATGTTATATTATTTCTATAATTGCTATGGCCCAAAGTGTAATCTCACTCACTCACTCACTCACTCACTCACTCACTCACTCACTCACTCACCATTTACTCGTTTAGTCACTCTTTCCATTCATTCATCTAATACGTATTGAACACTCAGTTTAAAAAACTTCCAGCACTGAATGAAGTGTACCAACAATGTCCTCCATAGAGTCCAAAGATGAATCCATCTCCTACTGCTAGTTCCTTTCCCATCTCCTCCCCAAAGAAAATCAGTCTAATGTATTTAATGCGTATCTTTTTGTTTATGTATTTTCTTTTAAATGTGATTTTTGTGCATATATTTTAAATCTGTGTAAATGATATTGCATTTAAAATATTCTACTCAGCATTTCATATATTTAAATTAATTGGGGATAACATTGATTAATAACATTATATAATTTTCTGGTATACAACATTGTAATTCAATATCTGTATACTGTAACTGTTCCATGTGTGCTTATAAAGAATGTGTTCTCTGTTTGTTGGATATAAGTTTCCATAGGTAGCTAATGATCAAGCATATTATTCATATGGCTTAGATTGTCAGTATCTCTGATTATTTTTGTTTCTTTGATTCTGGAAAAGATATGCTAATTCTCCAAGTACAATTTTTGATTCATCCATTTGTCCCTACAGTTCTGTCAGATTTTGCTTTATAGCCTATTGGATCATATGGTCTTATGATGAACTTTGCTGTCTTGTTCTTTTGAGCACTAGAAAACATTTTCTTTTTTTGTCCTTTATAAAATATTGCTTTAAATTCTCCATTTTCAGAAGTTATGGTTACTAATGCAATTTTCTTTTGGTTCATGCTTGCTTGAATGTGATATATCTTTTTATCTTTCTGTTTTTCTCTGTGGTAAAAGACAATATATGGTTGTATTGTTAAAAATACAATTGGAGGACATCCAGCCAATTGGTGAATTTAACACATTTACATTTATTGCAATTATTATTATATTAGGACATATTTTTGTTAACTTATTTAATAATTTCCATACATTTTATTCCCCTCCCCCCAGAAGGGCTCTATTTTCCAGGTTTCTTTTAGATAGATCAATTTTTTCCCCCTGCTTGTTTTAAATTTATATATTCCACTTTTATTCTGATGCTGGTGTTATCTAATTACAAACAACACTCTTATTTACTTAATATTTACAAGAATGTCATGCCTGTTTAGTCTCTGACCTCAGTCCCCAATTATGTTATTTTCTAAATTCTTTTAAAAAATATATGTTTTTATTGATTTTTAGAGAGAGGGAGATAAAAACATCAGTTGGCTGTCTCCTTCATGCCCCCCCACTGGGGATTGAGCCTGAAACCTGGGTAGTGCCCTGACCGGGAGGTGCATGAGTCGACACTCAACTGCTGAACCACACCAGCCAGGCTATTCTCTAAATTCTTAATTTCTGGGCTGTTGAATATACTTTTTCTGTTTTCTTTAATTTGGTCCTAATTATTTTTAGATAACCGCTAAACTTGAACAAGGTATTTATTTGATCACCTCAGTTGCATATCCCTTGAAGCAACATCCTTTCCTACAAGAGTTTTTAACAATTGGATCTGTCTGGCAAACTTACTGATACCACATGTGCCTCATAGCATTTTTATTATACCCTCATATTTTAATGACAGTTTGGCTGGACATAAACTTCTAAGTTCTTTCTTCATTAAATTCCTTAAAACTTCCTCCTTGCATCCCCCCTTACTGTTGAGATGTCTGATAGCAAAGTGAGTCCCATTCTTTTGTAGATGATTTACTCTTTCTCTCAGGAAGCTTTTAGAGTTCTCTCTTTTGCTTTGATGTTCTTAAATTTTGTTATAATATGCTTAGATGTATGGTTTTTCCTTCTCTCTCTTGTTTGGCACTTTATGAACTTTTTAATATAAGTCTTTCATCTGTCAATTTCATCACTTATTTCAACATTTTATCCCCTCCATTTATTTTCTTTTGATTTCATTTTTCACTCTTCTGTTTTATATACTCTCCTGCTGTGATTAGTATCTGAAGGTTGGATTCTAAGTCTATCCTTCATTTCTTTGTGTAATGCTTAATTTTATGTGTTAACCTGGGTAGGCTTTGGTGCCCAGATGTTTGTTCAAAAAGCAGTCTAGATGTTGCGTTTTAGGTCTAACATTTAAATCAGGAGACTTTGAGTAAAGCAGGTAATCTCATATAATGTGGATGGGCTTCATCCAATCAGTTGAAGGCTTTAAGAGAAAAAGACTGGGACACCCTTAAGAAGAGAGATTCTACTTACAAACTGCCTTTGGATTTAAGCCACAAGGTCAACTCTTCCCTGGGTCTCCAGCCTGCTGGCCTGCCCTGCAGAATTTGGACTTGCCAGGTCTCACAATTGTGATTGGCCAAATCTCTGTCTCTCTCTGTCTCTCGCATGTACACATATACACACACAGGCACCTGCACATGCACACCACCCTATTGGTACCGCCTCTCCAGAGAACCCTAATATACTTTGCTTAAAAAAATAGTTTATATATTTTTGTCTTTTCCTGTTGCCTTCTATCAAAGTTTCTTAGCTTTATCCATCCTACTTAGCTCATCTGTATTGTTCATTTAAACTATTATTTTTGTCATATCCAATATTTCTACTTGGTTGTCTTTATAATTTCTTAACCTGTTAATGTCATTCCTTATCTCCTGAGGAACTCCTTTAACTTTGAGTAAAATTAAGGTAATAATTTTTGCATTAAACTGAAAGTGATCAGGGAAAACATGGCCTTATCCTAAATTTCATTTAGTGGCAAATGAAGAATTAGTCCCACAGAATACATTTAACAGAGGACAAAAATTAAGTAGGTTAATGAGTTGAACTATTCAATATAAATTTTATACTTGTCAAAGTGGCAACTTGTAAGTACTGTTTACATTTTACTCAGCTTTGTAATGATATAATTTTGGACAAATTAAAAATATATTTTTGATTCTCAATATTTTAAAATGCTTAAATGAGATTAAGATACTTATATTAATAATCTACTTTTTCAGATACCCATAATTTAAATACTTATAATTTTAGTCTGATCATTTTTGATAATTTGGTACATAAGCTCTTTCCCTTTAGAAGATCTTTATTTTATGTATTCCAATAGGATTTTATAATGAAGTCTTTCTTGTAAAATTTGTTCTTTGTTCTTTTATAGATTTTCTGCTCACTGTAAACAGCTTATTATACCATTTCTATTTGAAATACTTATTACTAATATAGATAAAAGTCTTTGATATGTTTATATTTTTATTAAATATCTACCACCTTATTGAATTCACTTATGTCAAATAGTTTTCTTTACTAGAGTTCTTATGTGTTCTGGACATGATTGTATATTATTATATTATTTTTTAGGAAATAAAGTATTTCTTTTAGATTCTCAACTTACTGTTCTGAGTTACAAAATATTCTTTTAGATTTTTATATTTTCAATATCTATGCATTCTGTATGTTTCTCCTTCCTAATATAGTGTGTTTTCAATTCCTTTCCTCTTTAACCAGGCTTGCTTGGGACACTTATTTTATCTTTCCAAAGAACCAGTCGTTCTTTTTTATATACATTTTACTAGTTTTTTATTTATATATAATGAAAATATGTTATCTTTTAAAAATCCACATCCTTTCTTTTTCTATTTTTTTCTGGTAGTAATTTTATAAATTACAGAAGATTAGAAAGAATAAAATTAAAATCATCCAGAATTCTACCACTTTGAGATAACTAGTGTTAATACATAGGTATATTTCCTTCTGACTATTTTCCATGCATATTTTGACATAATTGAGATAGGCACAGTATATTTTTATCCTGCTTCTTTCATTTAACTATATCATTAGTATTTTAGCAGAAATTTTTGAAAACTTGATTTCTAGGAAATCTATAATCAATCGTATGTCACTTATTTAATTGTTCTTTTTGATGTTTGCATCAGTTTTATTTTTTCATGTTGTGAATAATGTTGTAAATGATATCTTGGTGCATGAATTGTTATTTAAATATTGGGTTATTTCCTCATAATACATTCCTAGAAAAGTTGAGTTAATCTATGCTACCACCTGGTGTTAGTAAAATTGTCTGCTTAACTGTACCCTTGTTAGGATGGAGCCATCACTTTTATTGCCATATTTTACTTTCTGGATTATTTTAATTATGCATATTTATTGTGAAAAAATATTTTACTTATGTAAGTATTGTTAAGTCTGCAATTTATGAGTCTAGAGTAGATCTGGTATGCTAGTGTAGACAACCACCATAAAACAGAACTTTATTTCAATACTGTTGATTTCTTCAAAGGAAAACTCCAGGACTAAGAATTCCCAGATAGGCGAGAACAGCAAAATGTTTAAACAGCTAGAGAAAGACAACAAGCAACAAACATTATTGAATATTAAGCAGAATTTGCAGATTGCGACAACTCAAAGATTAGAGGAAGAAATTCAGCAACTTCAGAAACAGCTCAGCGACTTGAAATTGTCAAATAAAAATATGAAAACTCAACTGAAAAGAGTAAATGTCCTTAAAGTAAGTAAAGGCAGTGAGGCTTTCAAATATTTATTTAAGCTTTGGTTTGTTACTATTCTAGCTGCATGTTTCTCATTAAACTTAAAAATATTAACATTAAAATTACACACATACAAAAATATATATATTAAAGCATATATGATAATAAAATTTGATGCCTGCAAATCTACTACTAATCTTTAAGAAAACAAACTATTATCAATCCCGTGGAAGCCCCCAGGCATTCCTCTCCATACTCCTCAAAGGTAACTTCTAGATCCCTTGCTTTTTGTTTTACTCTTACTTTATTGGGGTAGTAGTTAAATGTTTTAGTCATTTTGGGGGCTCTTCTTTGGGCCTTCTCTATTTCAAGCTTCAGTTGTAGTATTTCTTTTTTTTTCTTTTTCTTTTTAATATATCTTTATTGATTTCAGAGAGAGGAAGGGAGAGGGAGAGAGAGAGATAGCAACATCAATGAGAGAGAGTCGTCATCAATCCGCTGCCTCTCGCACGCCCCTGACCGGGGATGGAGCCCACAACCCGGGCCTGTGCCCTGACCGGGAACTGAACCTCGATCTCCTGGATCCTAGGTCGATGCTCAACTGCTGAGCCACGCCCGGCTGGGCCAGTTGTAGTATTTCAAATGTATACCTTTTATCTTAAACCACAGGTACACTAAATACTTATTGATCAACTTTTTTTATCAGCAATATTTCTTCACTGCAGAACCACTTATTTTCTCTGTTTCTGTATGTAATTAGCACAGGCTGTACTGTAAGACTTTTAAGGACATGGAACACTTGTTAAACCTCTTTAAACCTCCAAGTGCCTAGTTTATAAAAGTGTTCAGTGACTGTTGGTTATTGATGAGTACGGTGGTGGCGAAATGTCCTCTTCATTCATAGATTGTGGGATTTTCCTTCCTTTCCATGTATCTATTACCTCTTAAAAATAAAAAAAGAAGAAAGGATAGAAGCATGAATTATCATTCATCACGCCTGCCTGTTATTGAAAAGAGATCTAATCGCAGTCATCTCCCTTTCCCTCAACCTTAACCTTATACCCTCACAGGACAAAACCATTCAGAAGTTCAGGCAATCTTTAATAAAAGTTGAAGCAATGAAAGGGAAGGCAGTTATGAAAACAGATAACTTGAAAACTACATTAGAGTTGGCCAAGGAAGAGGCAAGATGGGACAAAGACAAGGCCCATCAGATGTTAGATGCTGCCACTCCCGAGCTCTGCACGGCAGATACACTTGAAGAAGTATCAGGACCACCACAAGAGGTTTTTAAAAATATTATTATTCTCATTACTCTATTAAGATTCTTTAAATTGAAGTAATAACACCCACCTCAACTTAAACTCTATCTAACTTAGACAAAAGGGAATTTATTGGCTTATGGAATCAAAGGAAGTTAAACAACCAGAGCTCTTGGAGGGCAGAGATGCACCTGGACCCTAGGATGAGCACCTGGAAACTTATAAGGCCTTTTTCGCCATTTCTTCTTGGCGTCTTTCTGTGTGTCAGCTTGTCTGTCTGACTGAAAACCACAGAGTTTTATAGTTAAGAGCTTTTGGGACAAGAGAGAGGGTCCCTAGAAAGAGTCTTTATAAGCCCAGCTTAGATCAAATGCTTATCCTTGGTGAATTCACACTGGCAAAGGATGGGATATATGATTATCTTATCTTAGGTTTTTGTACCCATCCTGTGACTAACCAAAGACAGGGGGAGCAGGGATGTGAAATAATGGAAGTTCAAGGGAAACCATGTGTTTGGGGTTGGGTCACTTTCTAGGACAAGAGGGTAGTGCTTCTAAACTTGCCTAGATTTTCACTATATTATAAAGCAGGTATTTTAAGAAGTCTTAAAAGCCTGATAATTTTGGGCTGTTGTGGGATTATGTATGCCATACATCCATATATTACTTTCTTAAGAAATATGTAACTTTAACCAATTCTCTTGAGAATCCTAAAAAAATCACATCATGAGACTATCATTTTCTTTTTCTCTTTTTTAGCTTCTGCATATTCACGTTCTTGATTTAAAAAAAAAATCTTTATTGATTTCAGAGAGAGGAAGGGAAAGGGAGAGAGAGAGATAGAAACATCAATGATGAGAGAGTCATTGATCGGCTGCCTCTTGCACGCCCCCCACTGGGGATCGAGTCTGCAACTCAGGCATGTGCCCTGACTGGGAATCAAACTGAGGTCTCCTGGATCAATGCTCAACAGCTGAGCCAGGCCCTGCCAGGCTCTTGATCGTTTTAATTCTTCTCAGTGTTCCTGATTATATTTTCAGTCAGATCTCTTCTCCTTCAGGCACTCTGTAGTTTACTCTTCATTTCTCAGAAGGTTTTGTCTGAGTTCCATCATCACATTTCCTTAACCATGAAGCATCTTAGCCATCTTTTTTTTGGTCCATTTCTATTCTGAAATACCACATTTAGAAAGGTGTTTTTCACCCCATGTCTGCAAATCATTGTCTAATTAATATTTAATTCATATCTGGTACCGTGTCAAACATGTTTCACCTGCTTCATGGCTGTTTGGGTGATCCTGCCTTTCTTCCAGGCCGATTTCTTTTCCTTCCCCACTTGTCAGTGTTCTGATCCACCAGGTTTCAGACTTGTTCTGCATAAATTTCCCCACTTATGCATCCTCCTGTTTCTGCAACACCAATGGAAACCAGCTGCATTCTCCAGCGTGGATACTGGAGCTGCCTTTGCTGGTTTATGATATTTCCCCACTTAATGCAAACTGAAGTCTGTGGTATTATCTAGTTATGCTTTATGCATGATTTATGGATGCTTTTATCTGCTTTCCTTGTTGATCACTATGGTTTTAGGAGGATGGGTGCAGAGAGATGTATTTAGGGGACTACTACTATTACCATACAGGAAATCGGAAGTTCAAAAAGAAATTACCTTCCAGATGAAAAATAAGCAGCAGTAAAATTAGATTTAGTCTATAAAAGTGAAAAAATAAGAAAAAAATCTTAAAAGAAAATTTAAAATAAAGACTACTTTTTATAAAGGGACTATTTTTCTAGCTTAAAAATATTTGAATATAGAATGTTATATTTCACAAAGAAATGTTTAATGAAACTAAATTTCTCATACCAGTTTCACTGTACACAATAAATAGGTGACCAAAACTAATGACGTCTTGATTTTTATGGTGGCTCTTTGCAGCGTGTCAGCTTTAGAGAAACTATAATGAAGATGTTGGGATTTAACATGAAAACAGCAGACAAGGAAATTATCACTCACCTAAGGCTTGTTATCCAAGCTTATGAAACATCTAACAAATCGAAGATTACTTCTGATTGTGAGCCTGGACAGAATAATGCATAAAAAAAAAAGTTTCACCTTCTCATTGCTGCCAACAAGAACTCAGCAGATATGGACATTTCCTCCAGCATCTTGAATATAGCTACAAGATAAATAAAATGCTTTGGAAAATTTTTCTTGAATCTGTTCTCTCCTTTGATGTTTGGCATTCAACTTTTCTTTGTCATAATCATAAATGTGCTATATATTTACTTATGGTCTAATCTAGATGACTTGTACTATATAATATCCAATTATATTTATTATTAACTCTATTTTAAACAGGATATTAATCAGAACTTCTATTTAGTTGGAATATTTATATCTATAGTTAACAGCCTGTTTCTAGAATGAACAATTTATTAGGTATACCCACTTAGGAATCCAGGTAAAGTTGTATTCTATAACTTTAAACTATCTTATCTCTTTGATAACTGTGAAAATCAGCTATGAAATATTGAAGAGTAGGAAAGTCATCAAGAATTCTTATAAATGTGTAATAGGCTGTATTGTGTTTTATTTTCTTAGTATTTAATAGTGTCTGCTAGTGTTTGCCTAATAGTAGGCCAATTTCTAAGTTAATGGGCTACTTTTAAAATACTATAATTTCTAATTTATTTTATTTAAAATAGTTAACTGCTCTTCTTCCAAGGGAGTTTTAGATTTATCCAAGATGTCGTCTACAGGAATAGGTCAGAATCTGGACAGGCCTGTGAAGACTCAATGCCTGCTGTGGTCATTTAAAAGAATATCCTGTGGGCCTTAGTTTTAGGGGGAATCTTCAGGGTGGAAGAAGTCAGTTTACATTGGACTAGTAGCACTTTGGAAGAAAATTATCTTGAATACTCATTCAAGGAAAAAATGAAAATGACTCATTTTAAAATCGTCGTAGCCATGGTTCTCAAACTGAGTGCCAAGGTAGACTGGTGCACTACAGGGAACTCAGCATGCCATGGAGTATTTAAAATTTTAAAGGTAAACAGTGATACCTGATATTTGTCAGGAAAATACTCCAACTACTAGCTCCAAGTAGTTTATAGTTTCAACATTGTATTGCTCTTCATTCACTCTGATACATTTTGTGATGCAAACTGCCTGGGGCTTCTCAGGACTTGTAAGTTTGTCACCAGGTGGAGGCCCAGCTGTTGGTGGTATCACTACTACGGAATCCCAGGATTCCTGGCTGCAATGTAAGAAGCTCACTTACCCTTCAAGAACACCCTTGGACTAATATAAGAGGAGACGCTGCCGAGAGCCTCCACCTGTAGCCCAACCTGACTCCCCAAGGGCCAGCTGCCTGCTGCAGCCTCCGCACCAGGAGCTGCAAGGACTGCACCATCTCAGGGGCCAGCAGCTTCACCCTTTTTCCAGAGCTCCCCTTCTCTGAGGAGCTGCAGCACTACCAGCTCCTGGAAGCAGGCTCTCCAGGAAGGTCGGTACCAACGCGTGGCAGTTTCTGAAAGAGCTGTTTTATTAGCATCTTAAAAATATTCTGTAAGTAGAAAGAGGCCTTAGTCTCAATGCTCCTTTATCAACTGTTAGAAGGAACTGATGGTTCCACCACAGGGCAGTATAAAACGTTAGCTGTTGACTGAGCAGAGAAGGGAGAGGGACCCTTCCAGTATCTGGAACAATCTACTAGAACTGCTGTCGGTCCTGTGGCCACACTGTTCTATGATGAGAACTGGATTTAGACTTAGATAAGCTGTTCTCAACCTTCAAGATGAGTCGGAATCACCTAATGAACTTAATTTTTGTTTCTGCGCCTATCCAGAGATTATAGTTCAGTTAGTGTACTATGAGGCTGAAGTATGGATATTTTTTCAAAGCTCCATACGTGTGTAAATTGATAAAATTACTTTGGAAAACAGTTGGGTACTGTAGTTTCCTGATCCTTCTGCAACAAAGTATCACAAACTTTGTTGCTGAAAAAAATATTCCTACACTTCTGGAGGTGTCCACTTCAGCAAGTGAGGAACCATTAGAGCACGACAAGTGCAGCTGCTTGCATGGAGACCTCCTTCCCGCGTCCCACTCCCGCTCTGGATTTCACAGACCAGCCAGCCCCCTGCGGGCAC